TGGCTGGGGTGGGTCAAGGAGCCGGGCTGCAGGGAGAAGTTAATTGACCGAGTCTCTTGGTGGCAGCAGTAAGGGCTTCCAGGGCCAAGGAGTCTCCAATTGGCTCTGCCGGCCTTGGGTTCTGCTGGTTTCACTTAGCAGAGGCGGCTTTGCGCGTGCGCGAGTGGCCCGGTATGTGCACTGGTGTGTGCCCGTCCCTGTGCATTCTCACACGGGGATTGTCCAGCATGCATATGTGGAACCCGAGCCAGAGGTGTCTGGGAACATGCATGTGTGTGTGCATGTGCTCTGGGCAAAGGACTGCGAGTGCACCTTTACCGTGTGTGATGGCTGCTCGTGGGGGTGTCTGTGGGTGTCCGTGCTTCTGCGTGTCTCCGGAGTCTGAGTTGGACACTGAGATCTCAGCTGAACCCCCTGCCTATGGCCCCCAGGAAGGGCTGGAGCAGCTCTGTGTGTGCTTGCTGCTGTCCTCCACCCGCCAGCTATGGGGGGAGGGTAGCTACAGGGGAATGGGCTTGAGGGAGGACAACTCAGGCCTGCCCTAATCCAGGGGCTCCAAGGCTAACCTGAGTTCTCTGTGCCTCTGCTATTGGGGGTCCAGGCTGCTGAGGGGTCTGGCCCCTGTGTAGCTGCCTGGCCTCCCTCACCCCATCATAGCACCCCTTCACTACCATTTCCTTTGTTGCAACTCATACTTCCATCACTAACCACCACCACCACAAACTGTTATCACCTTGACCAACACCAACACCACCACCAGCACCAGCATGAGCACTACTAGTACTATCAGTATAACCACCACTACCACCACCACGAGCACTAACTACTAGTAATATCAGTATAACCACCACCACCACCACAAGCACCTAACTACTAGTAATATCAGTATAACCACCACTACCAGCAGCACCATCACAGCTGGTAGAACCTCATTACCCTCCCCACCATCAGTGCTATTTCCACCAGCTCCACCAGCACCATCAGCGCCATCACCAATATTGCCACCAGCCCCCTAATCACTGTCAGCGCCGCCTCTGCCATAGTCTTACCCTTACCCTGGCACTCCCCACACTCCCTTGCTCGTTCCCCCTTTCCCTTCTGCCCACCTCCCTCTCTCAAGACAAACAGCTAATGCACCGCATTCTTCCAGCTCCTGGGGAGCTCCTGGGTGACTGACCGAGGCTTCCACCAGTCCCTAAAGATGGGCACACCAGCCCTCTCAACAGACACACTGGCCCACTGATGTGGGCCAAAGCTGATGGCCTAGACTGAAGGCCCTCAGTCATGGGCTGGAGTGCTGGTTTGGCAGACTGACAGGTGTGCTGACTGGGTGATGACCAGGAACTGGCCCAAGGTGTCTGCTCAGCTTCCGCCCATTGCTGTTGGCTTCATCTGGGAACGCCCAGGAGAGGGGGAAGTGTGTGCTTCCAGCCCCCCACAGCCCCCAAACTCCTTCATTCATCCACCGGGTCAGTGCCCCCACCTCTGGCCTCCCTGTCCTGAACAACTCATTTCTGTCACCCAATCATGGCAAAACGGCCATTGTAGCAGGAGGAACTCAAGCCTGAATCAAGGAAGCACCTTCCCAAGGAGAGGAGGGCAGATGCATACCGGGTGCAGCCCCCCTGCCTGGAATGCCCCCGTCACCCCTCCCTCCAGCTGCACCCTCTCTGCATCCAGGCGGTTCTGCCACCAGCACTGGGGCTTGAATCCTGCCTTCACCATGACAGCCTTTGTGTCTCTGGAGAAGTTGCTTAATCCTTGCGCTACCTGTAAAATCAGGGTAACAGGGCTGTTGTGAGGCTTAAATGAGGTACAGCAAGTCCTCACTTAACATCTTCGATGGGTTCTGAGACTTTAAGCAAAGTGAAGTATAATGAAACCAGTTTTACCATCAGCTAATTAAGAGTTGAGTTCCTATGGCACCTCATCAACGTCGTAATCACATTCTTCGAGGACCTGCTGCATCCCACAAAGAGCTGGGCAGCACTGGGGCCCAGGAGAAGCTGGTTGCTATTGTTACTGTCAGCAGCAGTAGCACCAAGTCATGGCGATGGGCCCCCTCCTGCCGGGTGCCATGGGTGCCCCCAAGCCGGAGACCCAGAGTGGCAGAGGGAGATGATCTGGGTAGATGTCTGAGTGCAGAGGGCCACAGCGAGGGGCAGGTAGGAGGGTGGGACTCCGAGGACTGGGAAGAGGCAAGAAGGAGGGCCTGCTGGGTGCCTTGCAAGCTTTTGGGTGGAAGGACCGCCCAGTGACTCCTTGCATTTCTGGATCCACCCTGGACTCACACGAAGATTCAAGGTCCCTGCTTGGGCTTGCAGGGTCAAGAGGGCCCCTCCTCTGACTGAGGCACCCTTATCTCCTGGGGGTGGTGGTGAAGATGCTGACAGCTCTGATTTTCCTCTTGGCCTGGCGACTCCGTCTGCTGCTCCCACCCCTCACCCCACGAGCCTGCCCCTGCAGGGTTCAGGTCTTCTTGGCCCAGTGCCTGGTGCAGAGGACTCAGACTTGCAGCATCTTGGACCCAGCATTGTGGGTCTTGGCTTTCTGGGGCAAACACTGAGGACCCAGGGTTGGGTCATGCCCAGGGGTCAGTCAGTCCACACCCACCACTGATGGGACCACCCAACCCTGGTGCCAGGTGTCCCAAACCCCCCTCCCCCACATCCCTCCAGTGGTGGTGGGTTAGAGCTGACTTCCCCTGACCTAACCATCGCAGGGCTCGGCTTCAACATGCCCCCTGTAGCACACGTTCAGCCCAGCACGGAGCCTTCCTGTGTGCACGCGTGAGTGGTGTGCGGCCTGTGAACGTGCGGCGGTGGGGGCACGACCCGAACTTAGCCCGAAACTGGGGAAGGGGGAGAGAGGCAGCCAGGGAGCGCGGAGCTGGTGCTGGTGGAGCTCCAGGCAGGGGGCAGGTGGGGGCTGGAAGCCAACATGTTATTTACAAACACGGACGCTGCGTCCCAGGGAGAGAGTAGTGTGTGGTCAAGGGGCCCGGATGTGTTTCTCATTTCCTGAGCTCAGAAGCCTAGAGGAAGAGAAAGCCATCTGCTTACTGCCCCTCCCGCCGGGAGCAAGCAGCTCCTAACCCAGCTCCCGAGACCACCCCACTGAGGATGGTGTTGGAGCAGGGGATGGCAGCGATGGTGGCAGCGAGGACTGTGAGGTGGCAACGTCAAGGCTGGGGATGGTGATGGAGGTGTGATGGTGACAGTGGTGGTGGACAGAGCCAGCTCCATGCCACTGACCAGATGAGAGCCACTCCTCTCAGTGCCTCTTCTAACTGCCAAATTCCACACATTTGCTGTCTGATCCCAGACAGGACTAAATTCTCCTTCTCCGGGCAAAACTATGGAGGAAATACAAGGGATCCTTCTTCCGCGGCTGACACCTCCGCCTCTGGGGAAGGTGCTTCTCCCGCTGCACAGCGGTAGCCTCGGGATGCCCTCTTGGGTCATCTCCTCCATCCCTCTGCCTGAGGTCAGCTTGGTCCCCTGGGGGGGAAGGCAGCTGTTGGCCTCTTGCTCACCTCTAGAGGTGGCAGATCACTTGGTGGTCATCCCTGGACGCGGCCAGTCTCTCCTGCCTTGCAGAAGCCCCTCTACCTGTTGGCACCAGCCACTGCTCCTGGACATTAGCCACACGTCCCTCACCTTCCACTACATCCCATCTTACAGACGGGGATACAGGTTGAGCGTCACTGTTAAAAAGAAGAGGGCCGGGCCAGGCTGGTGTAGCTCAATGGTTGAGCATCGACCCATGAACCAAGAGGTCACAGGTTCAATTCCCAGTCAGGGGCCACATGCCT